ATTGATGTTAGATTAGAAGTTATAAGATTACAATGTCATGATAAATCATGTTTATGAGTATTTGTGAAATTTTGAATAAAGCAAGCAAACACTTTTTATTGATAAATATAGTGTATGTAATGCACAACTCGTTAACAGTGTTTTATTTTCGCCTAAAAATATACATATGATGTCGTTCAATGTTATTTGTACAAAGACAAAACATTTAAGAGCGAAACAAAAGAAAGCCCTGACGGAAACGCAGGAAATTCAAACGGAACTAGATCGTGTGGTCGACAGGTTAACCGTCTACTGCTGTATATGCATTAGAGTAAGTAAGTAAGTCAATAATTTATTACAGTGTCACAATCTAAAATTATACATAGTATATTATACAACAGATAAAAGCAGCATACAGATATATTAGATTCCTGCCTTAAAAGACACATGAGACACTTTTACCTCATGCCAATTACAATCAATCCAGACATAGTGAAAAACTTCCCGCTAGGAGAAATGCTCACGCGAGACGTATCAGCTGAGATCTTAAAAACGTCATACGATGTGACAGCGAGTATGCCACTACCGAAATTAAGTCAGTTAACAATTGGAAAATTTAAATCGTCACGTCTGTCACAGATCCTGGTTTGAAGTCTGTGTCAGTTTTAAGATGATGATCTGAATATGAATTATATTCTATACTTATTCATGTTTTTAGTATACTTAACGTCAATTTCACTATGATATATATGAGACACAAGCACTCATTAAAGTAAATAAAAAATGATAATGTGCATTCATATTTAATTTGTTTTAAGCAGTCAACGCCATTTTGTTTCCTTTTCTAGTATCATTTTATAAATTAATTAGATTACCAAATAAAAGATTACGTCATATTTTCAAGTATCCACCAACGTTCAAATGAAGTGGATGTAAGCAATTTTAGGCAACCGTACAGCCTTCAACAATGAGAAACACCAATACCGTATAGTCGGCTATAAAAGGCCCCGACATGAGAATATGAAAAACTTCAATTAAATAAAAAAACTAACGGCTTAATTTATAACAAAAAAATTTACGAGAAAAAAATATGACAGATATGAACCAACGAGAACCGCTGAACTACAGGCTTCTGACTTGGGACAGGCACATAAAGAATGTGGCGAGGTTAAACATGTGTGTGGGCTCTCAACCCTCCACTAACCTGGAACAGTGGTGTAACAGCACAACATAAGAACAACCTATAAAAATCAGTTGAAAAAGGCTTAACTCATAGTATTTATTTCTCGGAATATGATTGGCTAATGACACGTCGTTAAAAAAACCCAAATTCCCGGTGTTGCTAACCCATATACCCGGACGTTGCTACCTATTTACCTGGGAAATTTCACGTGCGTTTTCCTTAGTTATGTGGTTGTGCCCTGTGAAAATTTAATTCTGTTAACCATGTTAATTATCCATGATGTCTGTTATTGAATATGTAATTTTCTAACGATTTTATCTTAGTAAATGCATCACTTGGCTATCACGTCATCAATGCATGGGACTTTTGACTAAGAAAAAGGCTGTAAAGTGTAAACACATGCTTTAACGCATCATAGATATATATAGATATATATGTAACACTCAGAACGTGTCCACCCCCCAAACGTGTATATATGACGTCAATGGACTGCAAAATGTCTAGTTACTAAAGGGTGCCAAAACGTGTTCTGTTTATGAACGTCCAATCGTGTCCATTTATTTAAAACGCCAGAACGTGTCAAATCCCCAAAACGTGTCCAGTCCTTTTGAAACAAAAACGTCTGAAACCACTTCTGCAGGCAGCCGGTCGTGCAATACCCTCATAAATTACAAACATATTCACCACGTCTTAGATTGTGGTTTAACATCTATGTTGTCTGTCTGCTAAGTACAGAACGTGACCTATTCCCGAATATGACTGTTATACCGATACTGAATTTACATTGCTACACGACGTGTCTCTGTATTTTGTACATTGAACATTCATGTATTTATTTTTGATGTTTTTGTTATGGTTTCGGTTCAATAATGCGTGATGTCGTACCGTTTGTTGTCCAAATAATTATACAATTGCCTTTCAATACCATCTTTGTCATATTCCCGGATATGACTGTTATACTGAAAATGAATTTGCATTGTTTTGCGGCGTGCCTCGGTGTTTTGTACATCCAACATTAATGGATTTATTTTGATATTTCTGTTATGGTTTCGGTTGGATAATCTTTTATGTCTTATCGTTTGTAATCCAAATAATTATAAAATTGCCTTTCCATACCATCATTGTCATGAAAATTGTTCGGACGAATATTGTGAAAATAATTGTATAAAGTTTGAGATTGCATGTTAGTTACATGAGCGCGTCACTATTTTTGATATCCTGTGGTGTTTTTCGTTGATGGAATATGTTTGTTGTTGTTCTGTGGTTTGCATGTTGTGTCGACTATTATATTATTTGTTTGTGCGTTTCTCTGTTATGAATGTTCTTGCGTGTGTTTGTGCTGTATTTCTGTCACGTAGTGTTTTAGCCATATTTTTTTAACATTGTCATAAAGCGGGAGGTTTGGCATGCCATGAAACCAGGTTCAATCCACCATTTTTTCTTACAATGTCCTGTACCAAGTCAGAAATATGGCAGTTGTTTTCAAATAGTTCGTTTCTATGTGTGTTGGAGTTTGTTTTTGTTGCACTTCGGTGTTCCTGTTGTTCCTTTGTTTTCCTCTTATAGTTGATGTGTTTCCCTCGGTTTTAGTTTGTAACCCGGATTTGTTTTCTTTCAATCGATTGAACACCGATATACTACTGTTTCCTTTATTTAGACATCATCGGAGTATATTAGTACAACAGAATTCACTTAGTAAACGATGATATAAAATGTACAAAACTAGTTAATTGCAATTTGTATGTTTGCTCTAAATATGCATGAAATATTTGCAACTAGACTGTAAGAAATCAACAGTAAATAGTTAATTATGTGTTGCAAATTAAGCTTCCAATTAGGCTTAATATAAACAACCGGCGTTGAACAAACTAATGCTAATAAAGGACCACTTTATTAACAGTGAATGTCTCAGAAAACTTGAAAGATAAAATGTATTAGATTTCTTAATTGTGAAGTACCTCCATCAAAAATTTAAAACAATGATAATTATATTGATAAAAAATTAATAAAACCGCTTGAAGTAAACATTACTTTTTTATGTGCCATTCATTTTTTTTAATGGTGTCTGTTTATTTGAAAGCAGACGTCACTGTGCACAGTGTACCATATCTTGGACATTTGTCTTTACGATTAACTAAACTTTTCCTCCAGATTTTCTTGGATAGCTGCTTCGATTATTTTTTTTAATCCAACCGAAACCCGACGTCTTCTACCGTGCCCCCCATCATTGAATTGTCGCAAACGTTATTGACTTCATTGAGCACATATTAGCGCTAAGAGTTTGAGACGTTTTGACGTTTTAAACTGGACACCTTTTGGCGAATACGTTTAGGGGATGTGAAATCGGACATGTTGGGCGAAATAGACACGTTTGGGGGAATATGACACGTTTGGGAGGATGGACACGTCATACGATTGTACAGAGGGGTGGATAGAAGGATGGCTGTTTAACGTCCAGTTGCAAATTAAATACATATTTAGGACAAGAACATGATAATGTGAAATGAATATATAAACTATGCTATGAACTTATACCGTCACGCCGAGCCGGAGTTTTAACGAGCTAGTTCTCAAAGTAACAGTACATAGGGAGACAAGTCATCTTACCTGGACACATTATTCCGACTCCGAGCCGACCACTCTTTTGCTCTTACTTCTTAATGCCGTGTGCTTAACGGAGAAACAGTAAATTACAATTTTCAAGTCTTTGGTTTGACCCGACATGTATTCAAACTCAGAGACTCCTGAACTCGAGGCAAACAAGCTACCACAAACCACCATCTGGAAATAACTTTCGAAAATTCTTTTAACTCTAATTCTATATTCAGGAAATACATATAAAATTGTAACTGAAATACGTGAAAAAAGCATACATTTTTTAGTATTGCTTTTAGTAAATGGTATGTGTTACAATGTTAAATGTGGTATTTAAAGGCAACAGTAGTATACCGCTGTTCGAAATTCATAAATCGATTGAGAAAAAAAACAAATCCGGGTTACAAACTAAAACTGAGGGAAACACGTCAAATATAAGAGGAGAACTACGACACAACAGAAACACAACATTAAAATGTAACACACACAGAAACGAACTATAATATAACAATGGCCATTTTCAAGACTTGGTACAGGACATTTTAAGAAAAAAATGGTGGGCTGAACCTGGTTTTGTGGCTAGCCAAACCTCGCACTTTTATGGCAATGTTAAATATAACACTAAAATGACACCATTACATGACATGAATACAGTACAACATTACGGACAGAGAATTACGCAAATAAACTATACAATATAGTACATTTTGACAACGAAACAACAGAAACACTGAAGTAAACAAACAACAAACGACAATGCAACACACTCAGAAACAAACTTTACGATAACAATTGCCATTTTCCTGACTTGGTACAGGACATTTTTAAGAAAAAAATGGTGGGTTGAACCTGGTTTTGTGGCTAGCAAAACCTCCCGCTTTTATGGGAATGTTAAATATAACATTAAAATGACAACATTACATGACAGGACTACAATACAAATAAATGGGAGAACATATAGGACAGAGAAACATACGAATAATAGCCAACAAAAGGTACCAGGTTTAAAATTTTATACGCAAGACGCGCGTTTCGTCCACACAGGACTAACCAGTGACGCTCAAATAAAAAAAAGTACGAAAGCCAAAACAAGTACAAAGTTGAAGAGCATTGAGGACCAAAAGTTCCAAAAAGTTGTTCCAAACACGGCTAAGGTGATATGTCTGGGATAAGAAAATCTTTAGTATTTAGAATAATTCATACTTTTGCAAACAGTAAATTTATAAAAATTACTATATAATAGATATACATGATGGTATTTAATATTCATACTTCTATTGATGGATAAGTTCAAACTCTCAGGTAAAGTTGACCTTATTTTTTTTTGCACACACATTGTTGTCAATATAATAGAATTTAATGCGCCTGTCAAGTGAGAGGTTTGGCTAGCTATAAAACCAGGTTTAATCCACCATTTTCTACACAAGGAAACACCTGTACCAAGTAAGAAATATGAAAGTTGTTTTCCATTTGTTTTATGTGTTTGAGCTTTTGATTTTTCCATTTGTTAAGGGGCTTTTCGTTTTGAATTTTCCTTGGAATGCGGTAGTTTTTGCAATTTTACTCTTTAGATGATTTTGGCTTTTCTCTTTGGATATGCTGTTGTCAGTATAGCTCACAAAGTTGCTACTTAATGCTAAATCCCTGGCTAACAAATGTTTAGATTTGAACGTTCCTTACTAAGATAAATGCATAATAGCGTTTCGGACGCACGTAATTTATGAACTGTTATTTTACATGGACTAATTTGAAAATAAGTTCTGACGCAATAACACTCTTCAAAGATGCAAAATTGTTATTCTTATTTACATTGCACTCTTTTGTCTGCCATTTAATTAACATTTTTGTTTTTATTCATAGATAAACCACCTTTGCTGATAGCTAAAGATGGGGTCAGCATCAAAGAGGAGTCTTCTTGGAATACAAAGGATATTGTTAGTAAATCATCTTCTATTTTTGCTGTTTCGGTCGATTATCACTGGCAAAACAAATTCATATACTATTCTGGAGTACCAGATGGAGTCTTATATAGGTGAAAATTATCTTAGTTTTTGAGTATATTGAATTAAACAAAAAGACATGTAATGCAATGCTGTTATGCCTATTGTATCTCAATTATCGTATTATATCTCAATTGCCGTATACCTACATACTTTAATTGACGTAATTATCTTTGTTAAAATAAAAATTGTCCACCAATCCAAAAACTTAAAAAAAAAAAACAGAATGATAAAACTTCCTTTTCAAATTATTCCCTTTCTAATCGGTAGAAATAAGATTGAAAACATGAATGAGTGACGCAGTATGTGTCAAATAATGCTTTTATAACTTGTTTCCCAAGTATTAATCGTCACGAATATTTTGGGCAAAATAGTAATTAAAAAAAGAAAAGTTTTAAACGTAATTTCTCGTTAAAAATGTTTTTTTTTATCGATCCTCGGGTGTATTAGTTACGTTGTGATTGGTTTCACGCCGTCACGTTGTGACACCTTATGGATCCACAGTTGTTCAGAAGATTGCATAGGGTATCATGACGTCACGTCTACTTTAAATGGTGACTTTATCTATCAATGTTATTGTATTTCATTGGATTGTTTTATAAACAACTTGGCCGAGTGTCTAGTGTGCGATAAATTCGTTATACGGTTCACTATTAACTCCTTAGTGATTTTACAAACCCTCTATGGATCCGTATGGGGTCAGTAGCACCATATTACTTATAGTAAAAGTTCTTTTCGTCGTTTTTTTTAATTTCTTTTTTTTTGCCGTGATTTCTGTTTTTCTTTGATATAGGATCTTTTACTGCCTCTAAAGATATCTTTTGTTTTTGTTATTCGAAGGAACCAATAAATGCCTCTTTCTTAAACTTAAAACAATTTTTTGTATATTTACATTGTAGGGTAAAACTTCGAGATGATGGTGGTTTTACACCCAAAGAAACGATCATTGCTACTAGTCTTTTTGACTTTTATCAATATGCTGTAGACTGGGTTCATGACAAAATTTTCTGGATAGACTTACAGAAGAATGATACTTTGTATGTTTCAAACCTTGATGGAACAATGGCAAAGACTCTTGCTGTTTTAGATATAAATAGTATAAAGAAACCGGTACTGGATCCGTATAAAAAGTATGCTTATCATAATTTTCTTGCATAGAAAAAATATGTTTTTATCAAGTATATAAAATCATTTTCATGGAAATACACCTGTGACGTAAGTCTTTTGTTCAACTCTCCATTATTTTTCTGGAATGGACAGATATTTTTTATCATTATACTTCAGGTCAAAATGCCAGATTTGGTTAATACGAGGGAGACAGTTTACTTTATTATACTTCACGTAAAAATACAATATTTTGATTGGCTTATACGAGGGTGTTAATTTACTCTATTCTATGGTATATACTCTATTACCCTTTACGGAGACGCTTGATCAAGTGTGCGCTTTATTAAATACGGATGGTTGTTATGTACAAGACGTCATAGTTTATTACTTTGAATTTGAAATTTTATAGACAGTAATAACAGAACATTCAGTATAATAAATTAAATAACACATATCTGAGAGGGTGAAAGAGCAGATTGTTACCCCTCGAAAAGACATTGTCAACCTTAGCTTCGCCTCAGTTGACACTGTTTTCTCGGGGTAACAATCTGCTCTATCACACTCTCAGCTATGTGTTATTTATAAATTGTTCATTTCATTCATCCGGACGTTTTACCTCATGGATAGTTTCATGGGCATTTAAAAGAAGTGTTCATCAATGGAAAAATTCTAACGGGCGTATCTCGATATTGAATGAACATGAAAACTTAGTAGAACGGCTGGTAAGGGTTTTCTTTTTAGGTTGGATTGTAGTAATACAACTAACATCAAATATTTCATTATAAAAAAAAAAAGCTTTTATTTGCGATTCGTAATTCCATCGTGTAAAATGAAGTATCGTATTAAATAAAATTCAACAACAGTATCTGCAGTTTGTTTTCCGATGCAAAACTTGGCTGAAATTCTGCCACAGATTTTATTCATTGCGTGCCATTCCTCTTCTATTCATCTGCAAAATATTAACCTTGTTAACTCAGTTGAATTCTTTTGTAATATTGAAAACATTTAATTTATTCAATAATGAAAATTAGAGAAAAAAATACATTCCACTTAAGGATTTGCTTTTGACTTTACAACTGATATCACCCGCAGTTTTTGGTGGGGTTCTTGTTGCTCAGTCTTTGGTTTTCTATGTTGTGTTTTGTGTACTGTAGTTTGTCTGTTTGTCTTTTTACTTGTTTAGCTATGGCGTTGTCGGTTTATTTTCGACTTATATGAGTTTAAACGACCCTTTGGTATCTTTCGCCTGTCTTTTAAATATCCATCTTGTTGAAAGTTATAATGTTGCATTTTGATTTTGTACAGCAAAAATCATGTGTTGCGTTTTAATATACACATCGAAAACAGAAGAGTTACTCGGATAGTTTCTTCAATAATATTGTGGTTTAAAAGAATAAATTGTTCAAGAAACTGATAGGTCAAAATAGCATATTCGGTATATTATCTAAATGTTCGTTGTTATAATTTATGTAATTTACAAATGAATAGAATTTGAGGGCATGAATAAAACTTTAATAAGGCTTCTGTTTAATATGAGGCGCTGTTTATATTCAATTTTCGATTACAGAAACGCGTAACATAATCAAATTCATTCACTGTTGTTAAATTTCAAGTGGCGAATATTACAGTTATATTGGCAGTGGCATATATTACAGTTACATTGGCGGAGTTAATCTTGAATTTTTTTAATGAAATGAGAAAGTAGTTTTTCACTTAAGTTAAAAACATAAAAAACGGAATTCAGAAATGTTTTAATCATGCGGATTTTACGTAAATGCACAAACTTTTGGTTTGTTTTCTCCTGAAATACTTCTTAAAGACAAAAAATAAATATCCTTTCGATCCCACTACAAGAAAGACGTGCTTATCAAATGATTTAAAACATAAATCTGGATGAACTTTATTCAAGATATTTCTGTAGTAATGATTCTACTGTTCATAGATACTTCGTTAAGTGAGTAGATGGTCAACTCGATCTTAAAATTTTGCCTGCGGATTAATGGGTACAACAAGGAAATAATGAAAAGAAAATCATTACAAAATGAAATAAAATTCTTTAAAATGTTATATTCTGTAGATTCATTTTTTTAAATTTTAGGTGAATTTATAGTAAGTTAAAGATCAACCGGCCTCCGCTCCGTTATTTCCAAGGAATGGACAGTTATTTGAACTTTCTCTATAACGTAATACCTTGTTTAAAGGTTGAAAAAATTGCCCTTTTAATTTTGTTTTCGACAAGCAAACCGGTCGGTACTTACTTTCATTGAAAATTATAAGCTTCCGTATATGATATTGAATATTAAGAAGATTTACAATCTCAAAAATTAAATTGCCAAGCGCACAAAAATAATTGTATTGCTAACTGAAAGTTTGAATATGTCTGAACTGGTTTGTTGCAGAAAATAAACTTTTGTGAAGTTTGGTGTCTTTTATAGCTTTCCAAATGGATGGGTTTGCTCATTATTGAAGGTCGTACGGTTAACTACAAATGCTTCAATCAACGTCATATGGTCTCCAATAGATAGTTGTCAAATTGGCTATCTTACCACATCTTATTTTTATGTCGAAACTTTTTTTTAAAAACTTTCCATGAAAAGTTATTATTAACCAGATTTTTGGAATAAAAGCTTTCGAATTTTAAGTGAAATTTAGAATAAAGAAAATTTAAACAGATCAAATACATTTTGAACCATCGTTTTTTTTTTTTGGTTGACACAAAAACTACAAAAATTTAAAACAGAGTGTATATTATTTAGGTATCTATGTATGATTCAGTGTTTGATTCAAACAAAACAAAAGTTTTCCAACGTTTATTTTTATTTATGGATGTTTTCGAAAACCTTTCGAAATTATTGGTCCTCAATGTTTTTCAACTTCGTTCTTTATTTCCCCTTTTAACTGTTTTGTCTTGAGCATCACTGATGGATGTTGAAGACGAAATGCGCATCTGATGTAATAAAATCATAAGTCTGATATCTTTGCTGAGGCCTTTTTTTCATGACGTAAAAAAATTTGTTCTTCGTAATGGGAAAATTTTAATTTTAATATAAAAAAACTTATTTGACAAATTAATGAGAAGAACAATCGAATTCAATATACAGATTTGCCTTATCTCTTATCGCTTTTTCTTTTTGTTGATCGTCATTTTACATTGACTCAATGTCTTAAACTGTCATGCAAAAACATGTTTATTTTGTTATGGATGCAACATAACGCCTATCATCCTCTTGACATCAGTGGTTCAGTCATATTTTTGCCCGTACTGCTTAAATTATCATTCAAGTTTCGAGGTCCTGTTTGCGTTATTTTCATGTGAATAGCTAAACTAGCTTCAGATTAACCTGGATATATTTGTACTTCTAACACTGGATCGACGTATCTGCCGGTGAACACATTCAGGGTATCACTTACCTGGTAGCCATGCAAAACGCTGTCATATTTGTTTACTTATGATATTTCAAATAATGATATTTCAAATATATTTTCAGTTGAAAAAAATGAAGTCACCATCTTCCGAAAGCCCAAACGTTTCTTATCGGGGTTTTAATTCTAACTGTTTTGTTTTGTTTTCTCTTAAATGTTATTTTTTGTTTCTTTTTATACTTACGTATTTTGAATTTTTAGTTTTTGAACATTAATGACGAAAACATTTCTTACATTAGTTTCATCAAATATCCTGTTATATTGTATATTGCCAAAGAAAACACGTAAGAAATGATTTCAGTGACAATATAAACATGTTTATTCCAAGACAAAATGTTTTCTAATATATTTTTTTGTTAAATTGAGCCTCCTATCGACGATGAAGAAGTTCAACAATGCAAAAGCACTAAATATTATGGGATTTCAAGCTGAAATAAAAACCACCTCCCCCAAAAAAATTAAACACAAAAAACGGATAAAATTAATAACAAGAATTAACATCCTTAAAAAAAGCTGCATATAAATAGATGGGTTAATGATAAAATAACAAATGTACATGCACCGGTTGACAATGTTTAATTTGACTGTAATGTATTCCTTTTAGATATATTTATTTTACTTCTTCAAATGGAATAGAGAGAATAGGAATGAACGGACGTGACAGAAAGGTTATTTATAGCGATGTTTACTTCACTGCAACAGATGTAGGTTCTGATATAGCTATTGGTAAGTTATACAATTTGACTTTTGTGATTTGTACCTTCTGTAAAAATCTTGAAAATATTATTTTGATATGCTTAAACATTATTTTGATTTGCTTTTCATATTGGATGTTGTATTTACATAATATGCACTTACGGAAGGGCGTTTTAGGATTTTCACAGTTGAAACGGACAATAAATCATTTTTCATCAGGAATTGTATCGATTGTATAGGGTCTTTTAATATGTAGTTTACCGTTTGAGGTTTGGATAATTGCATTGAAATTGACTTTCAAAAAACCGATGTGACTATATATAATTGGACAGAGCTTTTCCCCTTGAAAAGTGAATAAGGAGTTTGATCAATTTAATGACCTTCAGCCTTCAAACCAGTTTAGTTATGTTTTTTTATTAACATTGAGAATTCTTCAATTAGGAAAAGAAATTAAAAAGATTTTTTTTTGATACACAGCAAAAATATCAATACTTAAAAAACATACGATAAAATTACTAGTTCTTTTGATATTGTAAAATCTCATAAACTACTTTAAATGTTAATCAAAAGATTTTACGAGATGACGCACACTTTCTCGTTTAGGTATGTTAACAGTCGTGCAAAATTGGGGCATTATTTACGCGAAATTTCCTAATTTCTTTAACAATCAAGAGTTTCACAAATAATAGTTTAAATAATCATATTATAACATCTATCTACTTTAAGATCTCCAAACTGATCGGATATACTACAAAGAACAATTGTATGCTAGAATTAGCTCGATGAAATCGGATGGAAGCGATAACAGACAAGAATTGACAAATGTGTACAATTCTAAATCTCTCACATGTTATCAGGTAAGTAGCTTATATAATAGTTGATATGTCTATTATTATAATTCTTCAAAGACATTTGAACATTAAGGATATTCGCTACTCTGTTTCAAAATAACATGAATGGTTCTCTCTCGATTTTTCATACAATTAACATTGGCACCTTTTTTCTTTAAAAAAAATATGAAAAAAACAAGGATTTTACTAAATTTCATGAATAGCTATTTAAACAATATGTTATAAAATTTTGAAAGGAAAAGTCGAGGTTAGCGGGCAAAATTTCTTATTGTCAACACAGGAATAAACCTGTGGATTCTGAATATCTGACAAAAAGTCGAAGTTGGGTTTACGTCAATGTCAACGTTTTATGTCAGCCCAACGAAAACATGTACAATATAAAAACAGGAATATGTCGTATGATTGTCAATGAGGCATCAAAGGACAAATATATGAACAACGAGAAATCTCCTTCCGGCCTTCAACAATAATAAAAATCCAAACTGAATAGTAAGCTTAATGCTCCTGGTTGATAAAATGAGACATAATTCAAAAGAAGAAAAAGAACAACGGCCAAATGTATACTACAACAATAATCGAAAAACAATTATGAATGACAACACCCAACGACAAGCACTATATCATAAGCTCCCTATCTTGGAACAGGCCAATAAAAACATGAAGAGTAGTGATACAACACCATATGAACAAACTGTTAAATATGTTTTAACTCATCAGATCGACACTAAGCCAAAACAAAAACGAACTTAAAGACACACGATACAAAGTACCGATCTTAAAGCCTAGTAAACTCATCATAATAGAATTAGATTTTTTTACGCCAGACGTACGTTTCGTCTACAAAAGACTCATCACCGATATTTGAATCAAAAACAAAGTTGAAGAGCATTTAAGGCTCAGAAATCCGAAAGTTTTTGCCAAATACAGCTAATTTACACTTATATATACACCATATTGTGAATAATTTCAACAATCATTGTATGAGAAATAAGGTAAATTAGGTTCCAAAATGACCAATTTGACTTTGTGATTTTTTTTCTGGAAAGTCTTACAAATGTTTTGGTTTACATTATTGTATGGAAACACTACCGCTACTGTCCTTGATATCTTTCCCCCGTTTATGGCATGAGATATCCCGTATGTCAACATTTATCAGTATTTCAATATGTTTTACTCACAATCCGAGGTTCTTTAACAATATCAAGGAATATTTATGAGAGCAAGTAAATGTATGTCCATTTCGCATAAGTCACGTGATCATATACATTTATCATCAAAGCGCTTTATGGAAGGAATAATTCTTTAAATCTGAAGTACAAGAAATTCAAAAGAAACGTTGTTTATAGTCTGTCAAGATTTTAGGATTTCTTTTTTCCGTTTCATGCTTTAGTTTACATAACGGATATTTTGAAATTATTTTCATACTTGTTTCAGTTAGAAATGACAGTCATTTATAATACTAAGAACAATCATGTTGTGTCTAACATTGAAATAGTAGCCTCGGTTGAAGACATAGCCAATGCTTAACCTTAATCTATAAATACTTCATAGTCTTCAGTTACTGTTCTATTTTTCTTTTTCTATAAATAAAAGGGGATACGGGATTAATAACAACGATACAGCAACCAGACGACTCAAGACATCTATAGGATAAGAGATGGTTGTCGACAGTAGATCAAACTATTTATATTAAAAATTTTTTATAATAACAGTGGCATGATTTGAACAGTATTGTAGAGATCAAAGGATAAAATGATCAGTATTTTAAGGCATATTCATCTTTCTACTAAACCATCTTAGTGGTACATTTTATCACTTGCTGCTTGTGCTTCTATTGATTTTACTTTTGATGCGAATATTACATGTAAATGTTATGAACATCGTTATGATGCTCATCCATTTCGTTATTCTTACAATTTTTTAGACCATTTTTCTCTATTCTTTATTCATTTTTACTATAAATCTCTAATCTATACATTTTAACCCCCATTATTCTCTATTCTTCAATTTATTGTAGCCTATTTTTCTTTATTATGTATTTTGCATGTTTGCCGTCTATTCTGTACTTTTTTACCATTATTTTCCATTCTTTAAGGTGGTACCAAACACCTTGACTAAAATTAATTTGGCTCGTTTAATTTTCATAAAATATTGACAAAATATTTACTTTGACCCTTTGACAAAAATATAAAAATTTCAAAAAACTTGAACCACACACTTTATAGGAAAAATTTCATTGGATCAATAGCAGTTTGACAAAAACTAATTTTGATCATTGAAAAGCTTAATATTTCCTTAACAATAGAACGTGATTAAAACGTTGAGCTGATTTGGACAGAGTTATCTCCCTGTAGTGTTATGTACCACCTTCAACTCCACTATTCAGACCCTCCGTTATGTCTTTGGGTAACTTTTTTATGACGTAAAAGGTCCTTAAAATAACAACACACTAATGTTGAAAACAGTTATCATGAAATTGAAGGAAATTATGACAATACTATCTATCTGAAAAAAGTCAGCACCGAAGCGATTATTTAAAAAAAAGCTTTAAATCATAGAGTAAATTATATGTCGTTGTTTGTTCTTGTAGGGTAACTTGTATTACCTTGGTAAAAAGTACAGCTTGGACACATTTATACGCTACAATCCGTCAACAGGAACGACAACTGAGCAAGACCTTGGACAAATTTTTTGGGATTATAAGATATACCATCCATTCGCACAGATATCAGGTTAGTAAATAAAATAGTTATGATTTTTTAAAGAAATTATTCGCATTAATTACAGTTGATAAAATTATGAGACGAACAAAACTATTTGAACAAAAGGGCAATAGAACATCTAAAAAAATACATTTATTATTCAAAAGTAACAACGATTAACTCTAAAATTGAGGTAATGACATTACTTGAAACCAATTGCTAAGAATATTTAGAAACAGTATGATGGGGTCAATTGTTAAAAACTGATGTAATACAAAAATTAAAACAAACGGCTACATGGACATCCATATATTCAATGTGTAGATTAAATGTTTTTCAAAAAATTACAAGATATTTGTTTCTGTACTGCTCGAGTACCAGTAACCGTCAGAAATTCCCAATTTTTCGTAGATGATTTTAAACAGGAACTTTTTGTAGAAATTTTCTTTAAGCTTAAAAAATGTCACCAAAAGTTGGGTTTATCACCATATCCTTGGACTTTAATTCCCCACTTATCGTCACTTTTGAATTTTCCCATTAAATGATAAAATGTACATTTAAACGGGACACTGATGTTATCAAAAAGAGAAGAGGGAATGTCAATTGAACCTAACAAATCACCATACTGACGATTATTTGGATTGATTGATTGTTGGTTGCTTATGGTCCAGTGGCAAATATCTCCTGCCTGTTCAAGACTAGGATCTACAAATACAATAGGAAGGTCCTGTAACAGAGGTTGTCCGGGAAAAAGGTCGGAGAAGTTTAGACTGCCACTGGAAAATCAATCTAATTAAAATATCGATCAATCATAACTTGCGTCAACGAAATCAGAGATATATATATTAATTAGATTGCTGAAAAAAAATGAGGGTATATTGGATAGGGACAGTAATTTTGCCTTGCAGCAGGCCACCTTCAGATCCCTGAAAGATTTGTTACAATGGTTGTTAACGTGCAGAGAGCGTGGCACTCTCTCTACAATAGACATCGGATTTAACGTCCCCATTTTGACCAGACGTGGCTGTGTACTTGTACATCCCGCACAGCCAAACTGACGCGCCATTTTGGTAAGGGTTTTACTGCCAGTCGAATGATGATCTTAAGCGACCATATGTCTATTCCCCATGCAGTCACCCTTGGGGTCCATTTTGTTGGAAGGTTTCTTTTCTTGTCTGAATGTCAACTGTATGTTACATGATTTACACTATGTATTTGAGCTTTTTATTTTTCCATTTGAAAAAGGACTTTCCGTTTTAAATTTTCCTTGGAGTTCGGTATATTTGTTTACTTTTTACACTGTATTAAAGAGACGTATAGACTATAATTTTGAAAATTGTAAATCTTTTCGAATTTTTGGAAAAGAAATTATCTATTCTAAAGCAAGGTTAGATATTGCTTTGTCTTAAAGCATAATGTTTTTTCAACATCGTTGACGTCATGTCCCAACATGTGTATCTTCCCACGACGCGTTTGATTTACAGAAAGATTATTAGGCGTTTCAATATCTTAATCGGCTCAAACAAAACTGAGTTTTTACAAATGAAGTAAAAATAGTTGGCTGAAGATATAAGCAGTTTGATCTTCTTATGTAACGCTTCTGTTAATAAATAAAACACCAACTGACGGTAACAGGTAACTGATGGTAACTTTTACTCGACCAATACAGAAAATTAAATCTTCAACAGCATTTACAAGTTTACTCTACGTTTTTAAGTTCTTTTGTTGGAACTTAATAAAGTATGCAATGAAAACATAAACTCTGAATTTGTTATATATAGTATTTCAACTCAATTAATGATAATATGATATAATGTTATTCAAATTTCAGGTACAAATCCCTGTGACAGCAACAACGGTGGCTGCACTCACTTGTGCTTACCGAATCCTACAGGAGAACCAGCGTATACATGCGAATGTCCTGACAAATATATCGAACAAGGCAATTCATGTGTTGAGTCCACCTAATTATATTTCTTAATTGTATTCATATTATTTTTGTCATTCTAAACAAATTAAATAGTTACACATTCGAAAACTTCCTTTATACTTAGATTCCTGTATTTATATAACGGAAATTAAAAAAAATCTTTTTATAAATGTACGTTTCACGTCTAACATACATATATATTATTTTAAACATATTCAGAACTTATTGTGGTTAAGTAGCACAAACATGTTTAGCCCTGCAACATAATTGCCAATGAGACAACTATCCACCAAAGTTCAAATAAAGTGAATGTAGGCAATTATAGGCAACCGTACGGCCTTCAACAATGAGATAAACCTATAACATATAGACGGATTGATAATATATAGTATATATATGCTTCAAAAGGTAAATCTTTTTAAAAGAGAAACCAACGACCTAAGCTCATAACATTCAATCAAAAACAGTTCTGACAGACATCACCAAATCTAGGTGTGGAACAGGGAAATAGGGAACACCGCCACATTCTTTATGTGCTTGTCCTAGGACAGGAGCCTGTGAGTATACTAGTATTTGAAACGTCTCAGCTGTCATATATAAGAGATTTAAAAAACGTTATGAGATTATAAAAAGTTTAGAGACATGACACGATTTTCAATTTGTGTTCCAATATGTTTATTCATAAATAACTTTCACCAAAAATACATCGATTGAAGTATACGTGTCAAATAATTGGTAAAATATGTAATCAAATACATCAATCTATCGACCTGATTGATCTGCACATGTCCTTCCCGAAAGTCACTCAGAACGAGGCTGCTACGTCACTGGTGACAATCAGCAATATTGACAGTAGGGAATAGCGCAAAATTTTAGCTTCATTTATTTACGAAGAAAAAGTATCAAAGTCGCATACAACGGTTATATGTGCTGCTGCTGGATGCAACAATAGAATTAAGAATAATATTAAAATCATATTTTCCGTTTTTCGAATAACCTACAGAATTAGAAGGCGTGGAGATGGGACTTTGTTCAAACCCCTAACCACAAACTGTGTTTCGTTCACTTTTACAAGGCATATTACAATCGTGATCGATGAAGCCATCATAGGTCACAGGCTTGATGTACAGGTGATTTGCAATTTCGGGTCTTGTTTGAAATTGGAAGCTGTAGGTGTCAAGCCACATGGGGTGATTGATAAAACGTAATTCTTACACAATATTACTTTATACTTGATCTTACTTTGTGTACATTCTTGATGTAGGTTTTGCCGAGGGCACATGTGAGGTAGGAGTATATTATTGTTACAGTAATACAGGTATGACTACATGCTGTTTTAACACTACTCTATGCTCCACCGATCTAAACCTATTACAAGTTCTGATAACTGATACACAACCTGTATATAGACTTCATCTTTTATTTACATATAAAACTTATTCAGATAATTTCACAAAGGATCGATAGGTATGAAATTGGATAAATTAATAAAAAAGATAAACAAAATCTGGCGTAAGAACTATGCCAGACACCCCTATTCTTGCCATTTTTTTTTATTTTACTACAAAATTCCATTCATTAAACATTCTTAGCTCTAGACTATAAGACTAGCAAAACAAGCTCTCATTAATTCATCCACCCCTCCACTTTTAGTTGAATTTGGTAAATACATTTATGTATATTAAAATACAAAGAAAAGATGGGATGTGTCCAATTGGTACAGAATCACATGGTAAAATCCATTTCTTTTTAAAATGGAAACTAAATAATAAATAAAGAAAGTGTCTTTTGAGTCAATTATTTGGTATAAAAGTACGGCCTTCAACAATGAGTAAAATCCATACCGTATAACCGTCAATAAAAAGACCAAACATGAAAACTGTGGAACAATTCAAACGAGAGAACAAAACAATTTCTTGAATTAAATTTATATGTGGTTTTTTAGAAATCAGAAGTTTTTATTTATCATTCATCAGGGTTGAGCGCTCACAAATATGTTTAACGCCGCCACTTTCTTTATGTACCTGTGTAAAGTCAGGAGTCCGTAATAAAGTGGTTGTCGTTGTCATGGTTGTCATATAAGTTTTTCGTAAATTGTATTATCATTTATAAAATAAGCCGTTATTTTTCTCGTTTGAATTGTTTCAAATTTTTCATGTGGGTTCCGTAAGTAGCTGACTACACGGTATGGGTGTTTCTAATTGTTGAAGGCTTTACGGTAGTTTTAATTGCTTATATTCGTCGTTGGATTTCTGGTGAATAGTTGCATTGTTAATCAGACCCTATCTTATATCTTTATAAAGATAAACGCTCATTACTATCATTATAGAATTATAGGAATTAAGTAAAAGGTTAAACGTAAATCTTAAATGGTGACATTCATACAAACTGTTTCCAATAAAGAGAACGATCGGAAAAACTCAAATAACTTTAACCACTTCTCCATCTTTTTATAATCAAGGTTCTTTCTAGGTCATATATATTTATATTTACATATATCATCTGCATTGACAGTGCACCAAAATCCACAAAATTTCACCAGCTTAAATGGAGTTATGAATAAACCAAATCAAGAAGGAAGATTTTACTTGACAAACACACAAATAATCAATTCCTCAAGACAGAAACAGAAAATCATACTAAAAACGAAAAAATGATATAGTGTAGTCAATTAAGTGCAGAACTGTTATTTGGGATGTCTTTTCAGCCATATAAACACATTTCTATCTTAAATCTTAATTTATATAACATGTTTCAAAAATAATAAAATACACACCAAGCGTATGATCTAAGTAAGTACCGACACAGCAGACCAAAGCCAATTAACTAATAAAACCTCAATGCGTTGACCTTAATAGACCAATTGATAAGAGAATTACTAGCGTGAACAATGATTAGAGATATACAGCTAAATATAAATAAACCTTGACCGCAGATAATTGATAGCTATTAACGACCACTCTTATAAGAACGATCACAGACACTATACCATAATTACAAAAGTAGTTATTGTTGATATAAAAGCCTGTAAACGTCCAGCAGGAAGTATTTCAGATACCCAGTCTGATATTGTTGAAGTACTGAAAAAATATAAAACATGATAAACTAATTATTTTTATTATGCAAATATTTGGGCTTAAGGGCAACACGTTATGTTACAGAAAACTTCCTTGGCGTCATTGAATAAGAAGCGATGAATGTAAACTAACTGACGCCAACATTATACTTAACTATCCGAGCAGTGTGCGCGGCACACTGTGTGAATGCTTGAGGATATTTTTTCTTTAGTATCATGTAATTCACTCAGTTCTGTCATATTGTAAATCAAGAACAAAACAAATTACATGCTAACTGCAGTTGACACAAAGCACACAGTATGTACATAAAATGATAGTGTGTTCTCAGATAATTAAGGATAATGTGCCGCTAAAATACTGTGCCTGAGCTAGCCACATATCTTTGACAGAAATGCGTCACCATAGGGGTATTTGCATACACGTGTGTGTACGTCTACCAGTCTACTTGTCTCAGAGTACTTTAGCAAGCCGTTCCCGAGCGGTATAGCCTTACTTGATTTTCCACGTGGTACCGCATAAGAGTAAATCTTTGTGGGCATAGACCGACGTGAAATAGAGCTGTTGAGCAATCAAGATGAGACTATTCCTCGTTAAGGTACGTAGGCACCCTAACTACTCAGAAAATGTTCATAAATGTCTGGCCTTAACATTTATAATAGTAACATAACGTGAACCATAAAGGCACAACATCTTCGTAAAAAAAAAAAAAAAAAAAAAAAAAAAAAAAAAAAAAAAAAAAAAAAAAAAAAAAAATTCGGCGGTGTTGGGGTGGCTGGAGGGTTGATTTGAATTTTTTGCACTGCTACTGCTACTAGCTAATTAATGCAACTGACTGAATAGTCCTGACAAAGATTGAAAATTAACACGTGCACCAAGTTCATGAGACGGTTAAGAAAACATTGCCGTCTCGACCACAGACATCATAAATCTAGTAATAAAATGTGTATCGTCCACCTAAATAAATAATGGATTTTTGACAGAAGCCGAGTCGGACAGAACATGAAACACTAATATAAACATCAATTAAAAATTTCTAATTTATATAACATGTTTCAAAAATAATAAAATACACACCAAGCGTATGATCTAAGTAAGTACCGACACAGCAGACCAAAGCCAATTAACTAATAAAACCTCAATGCGTTGACCTTAATAGACCAATTGATAAGAGAATTACTAGCGTGAACAATGATTAGAGATATACAGCTAAATATAAATAAACCTTGACCGCAGATAATTGATAGCTATTAACGACCACTCTTATAAGAACGATCACAGACACTATACCATAATTACAAAAGTAGTTATTGTTGATATAAAAGCCTGTAAACGTCCAGCAGGAAGTATTTCAGATACCCAGTCTGATATTGTTGAAGTACTGAAAAAATATAAAACATGATAAACTAATTATTTTTATTATGCAAATATTTGGGCTTAAGGGCAACACGTTATGTTACAGAAAACTTCCTTGGCGTCATTGAATAAGAAGCGATGAATGTAAACTAACTGACGCCAACATTATACTTAACTATCCGAGCAGTGTGCGCGGCACACTGTGTGAATGCTTGAGGATATTTTTTCTTTAGTATCATGTAATTCACTCAGTTCTGTCATATTGTAAATCAGGAACAAAACAAATTACATGCTACCTGCAGTTGACACAAAGCACACAGTATGTACATAAAATGATAGTGTGTTCTCAGATAATTAAGGATAATGTGCCGCTAAAATACTGTGCCTGAGCTAGCCACATATCTTTGACAGAAATGCGTCACCATAGGGGTATTTGCATACACGTGTGTGTACGTCTACCAGTCTACTTGTCTCAGAGTACTTTAGCAAGCCGTTCCCGAGCGGTATAGCCTTACTTGATTTTCCACGTGGTACCGCATAAGAGTAAATCTTTGTGGGCATAGACCGACGTGAAATAGAGCTGTTGAGCAATCAAGATGAGACTATTCCTCGTTAAGGTACGTAGGCACCCTAACTACTCAGAAAATTTTGGGGAACGATATTATATTTGGCCAAAAT